CCGTCACCATGGCTTCCAACGACGTGATGGACGCGCTCCTCCCGTCCTCCAACGGCGCCAACGCATCCTCCTCGTCCTCCTCCTCCGGCTCGGGCTCGGGCAACGCCGACCTCGGTGGACCCAGCACTCCACGCAATCCGGCCAACGCCTCGCCGCCCTCGTCCGTGCTCAAGTCGGCCATGAAGCCGGGCAAGGACCGCAAGCGGTTGCCGCCGCCCGAGCAGTACCAGCATCCCGATCCGCTGCTGCGTCGTCTGCGTCTCGTAGACGCCTACGGCGTGCCCGTCGATCTGCGCAAGACCTTCCGCGACACCAAGGTCGTCGGCTTCTACTTTGCATCCCAGTGGGCCGGTCAGCCGCTCAAAGAGTACCACCAGGCCATCGCCGACTTTTGCCGCAAGCATCCGCACGAGTTCACCGCGGTCTACGTGAGCGTCGACGTCGACGAGCAGTGGTACAAGGCGGGCGTCAAGGACAAGCCGTGGATCTCGATGGTCTGGAACGACGGCTCCAGCATGCCCGCCGAGCGTGCCGATCGTACCGCCGCACCCACCTCGCCCGACGGCGACCTGGACGAGCTGCCACGCCTGTACAACAACGAGGACTTTTTGCTTGCAAACGAGCAGGACATCGACGAGAGCCTCTCGCACACGGACAAGTCGGGCGAGGCCTACCTGCGCCCCTTTTCAAGAGTGCATCTGGCGGCCAAGCTCAACATCATTGCAGCACCCACGCTCTGCATCTACCACCTCGAGTCCGGCAAGATGCTCGAGTGGAACGTGCGCATGGCCAGGCTCAGCTCGGGCCGTGCCGACGAGACGTGGCAGAGGTGGAAGAATGCAGAGCGCGCAGCTTCCTTTGGACTGCAGGATGCGTTTGCAGTCGCGCCCTATACCTTCCTCGCCGGCCTCCTGGCGCTCGTCTACTTTTTCATCGTCAAGTTCGCGGGCGAGGACTACAATGTGCTGCGCAAAACCCTTCATTCGCTACTCCAAGGCTCGCCCGGTAGCGCTCACAAGATCGCACAGCACGCGAACGAGTTGTAGCCCCTCCTGACTGGCCTTGCCACGTCGTAATTCTGGTTTCCGCAGCGTCACCTGGGTCGTCAGTCGTCGTGTGAAAGTGTATGCGATTTCGGTGTGGCAGTGTATGCGCGGGTGACTACGAGCGGTAGTCGGCGTTGATGTCGATGTATTCGCGGCTCAGGTCGCACGTCCAGTACGTGCAGTGCTCGGCGCCGTTCTGGAGGTCAATGACGATCTTGACGTCCTCCTTTTGCAGCAGCTTGTTGATCTCGGCCTCGTCCACCTTGACTGGGTTGCCGTTGCTGAGCACCGTGATGGCAGGCAGTTGCGCAGCGGGGTCGACAAAGCTCACCGACACCTTGGTCGGGTCGATGTGCGCCGTCAGCGTCGGGTCGGCTCCACCCACCGACGCGAGGATGCGGCCCCAGTTGGCGTCTTCGCCGTGGATGGCGCACTTGAAGAGCATCGACGTGACGAGTCGCGAGAGCAGGCCGTGCGCAACATCAAAGCTCGGCGCATTCGTGCAGCTGATCTCGACGAACTTCTCGGCACCTTCGCCGTCGCGCACGATGAGCTGCGAGAGCTCCTGGCAGAAGCCGGTGAGTTCGGCGACAAAGGCGTCAAAGTGCGGGCTGGATTCGTCGAGTTCCGCGGCGCGACGCGCGGTAGCTTGACCGTTGGCGAGCAGGAGGATCGTGTCGTTTGTCGACATGTCGCCGTCGACCGAGATGCAGTTGAACGATCGCGTGACGGCGCGGTTGAGCGCAGTCTGCAGCGCAGCTGGCGCGATGGCTGCATCCGTCGCAATGAGACCCAGCATCGTAGCGTGCAACTGGCCCCCACCGGGCGCCGTCATGGCGGGATGGATCATGCCGGCGCCCTTGTCAATGCCGATCATGCGGCACTCGGTGTCGCCGAGCTTAAACGTCTTGGCGCGCAGCTTTGGGAAGGTGTCGGTGGTCATGAATGCGCGGGCCGTCTCGCGCCACGACTCGGGATCGCTGCGCAGGATCATGCCGTTCGCGAGGTGCGGGATGCACCGCTTGATCGCCGGCATGGGAAGCGGTACACCGATCACACCCGTCGACAGCAGCAGCGTCTCCCTGCCCTCCGCCGACTGTGCAAGCCCCGGGTGCGGCGCGAGGTTCTTCTTGACCAGCTCAACGCACGCCAGTGCATCCTGCATGCCCTGTGTGCCCGTCACCGCGTTGGCACAGCCCGAGTTGACCAGCACCGACTGCACGCGCGCGCCCGACGCAGCCTTGGCACCCTCCACCAGCACCTCGTTCGACACCACCACGGGCGCGGCCTTGAACACGTTGCGCGTAAACGTCCCCGCCGCCGCCGCGGGCACGGTGGACACGATGAGCGCCAGATCGGGTTTGGGGTTGGGATTCGACGCCGCTACCGCACCGCCTGCAGGTTTGGGCGAGATGGCCGCCTTGATGCCCGCGTAGGTCGACGAGACCACGAAGCCCTTTGGGATATCGGACGCTGCAATGGGCGTGGCAAAGCGCGCGGGCTTGTTGAGCTTCGCCGACGCATCGAGCGTCGACGAGCTAGACGCAAAGCCGCGAACACCGCGCGATAGCGTCGAGCGCGATAGCAGTCGAGAAATCATATCTGCTCCCTGTTGATCGCGAGTAGATCGGGTGACGGAGGTTGTGCGGAGGTATTGGCGAGAAGAAAGTTGAGGTGCGCCCAGTGGCCCGGGCACTCGATTATATTTATCGCTATCTCCCCCGTGCCAAAATCCGCGAAAGTGGAGTCACTCGATTTCACACCCGAGCCTACGTATGACTCTTCGCGCGCACTACACAGCTGAGCATGGCAGGCGCAACCCTCTACCCTCGCCACTCCAGCCCGCCGCCAAACACAGGCAGCCGCAATGGCCGTCTTTCGCACCCCACTCGTCTCCTTTCGGAAACGCAATCACACGTGAGCTCGGTGGGTATATGAGATTGCAGTGTCTGGCTACATGTCTTGGCTGCTGTCGTCGCCGAGCGCTGGCGGCTGCACGACGAGCTTGGTGCCCCTGACCTCGGACAGCCAGCCCGGGATGCCGTCGAGCCTGACGTGCGATTCGTCGTCCTCGGCCTCGCCCGCATCGAGCCTGGCGGTGCTACGATCCATGCCGGCAGCCACGAGCTTGCGCAGGCCCGCCAGCACATGAGTGCCCTCGAGACGCAGCTTGATCTTGGGCTTGTCCGGGTCGGCATTGTAGGCGTGCATGTCGACGAGGCGGCGCGTGTTGTATCGCTGCATGCTGGGGAACGGCAGATGCAATTCGTACTCGAGCCGCTCGACGCGCGGCAGTGCATCGTCTGCACCGGACGCGGGAGCCGGGCCGAACAACTCGTTGGCCTCGCGGCGCGACTCGGTGCGCGCCGAGAGCGCACTGCGAGCGGAAGCTTGTGCCTCGTGCGGCGCCTGGAGCGTGGGCGTGTGCGACTCGCGCTTCTTGGCGCGCGACGTGGACGACGACAGCGACAGAGTATCCCAGTCGGAGCCAGATGCTGGTGGTGTGGGCGGTCGAATGCCGAGCGTGTCCAGGTGCTCCTCGCGCCGTCGCTTGAGCGGTGCGATGAGCGGCCCGTCTTCAACGCCTCCACTGCCGCCGTTGGACCTGCGCATCTGCCTCGCCTTGTTGCCGCCTGCCACGCCTGCGCCCGCCGAACTCGTCTCGGCCGTCGTCGAGAGCTGCCCCGACTCGTGCAGCAGGATCTGGCGCAGCGCCGTCGGATCTTTGCCGCGCAGCTCGCCCAGCGTGCGTCGGTTGCCCGCCGCATCCTCACCTGCCTCGTTGAGCTGTGCAAGCAGCTTGGCCGCCGCCGCTGAGCCGCCCGTGGGTCTGGCGTAGTTGAGTGTAGCTGCGCCTGCCGCCGACGCAAACGCAGACAGCGCCATCTCGCGGTTCTCTGCGCCGCGGCCCAGGCTGCCGGAAACGAGCAGAAACGGCGTGCGCGGCAGATGGAGGATGTGCAGTCCCGCCGCACAGATGTCGCTTGGCGCCGGAGCGAGCACGATGCGAAAGTAGGAAAAGCCGTCGGTCCACGGATTGGTGAACGGCTTGTCGGTATGCTTGGTGTCGGGCGCAGGCGAGCGCGGATAGAGGTAGATGTGGTGTTCGAAGTAGTGTGCAAGCTCGCTGCTGAGGCGCGTGCGGATCTGGGCCTCGGTGAGGCGTTCCCAGCCGCGCGCAGACGCGTCGACGTCGTCGTCGTACTCGAGGCGCACCGTGGTCCATGTTTTGGAAAGCGGACGCGCATGCATGCCGAACAGATCGAGCTCGGCGACCATGGCGTAGCTCAGGCCTTCGGGCCAGTCGACGTCGGTGATGCGGTCGACTGCACGCGCCTTGGGCACTTTGGGGTCCGCCATGGGCCCGGTCCACAGCAAGCGCAGCTCGTCCAGCGATCGGCACCGACGCTCCTCGTTGAGATCCAGGATCGAATGGTAGAGCATGAGGTTGGACGCCGGATCATCCTCGCCCGCGCGCGGCTGGCGACGCGAGAGCATGGGCGGCAGAAAGGACGGTCCGGCGTTGTCGAGCCACCTTGCGACGAGTGCGATGAGCTCAGCCTTGTCCAGTCGGGAGAGCAGACGGCGCAGGCTGATCGAGTGCGGAACCACATGGTGATCCTCGTGTGATGCGAGCTTGCTGCGCGACGAGGAGGGTTGCGGCAGCATGATTGGATGAAGTCGATGACGATGTCCGCGCTGTCGTGGATGGCGGATCTGGATCGCGGATGTGGATGGCGGGCACGGATACGATGGCTCTCCAACAACACGTCCGAAAGTTGGTGGAGAGGAAATCTCGGTGTTGGTCTGCTGCCCCACCGCGTCGCGCCGCACCGCACCGCGCCTTGAAGCTTCATCAACGCCGATTGCCAAAAAACATCGATCCCGATTTGGACGCCCCACGTGATTTGGATCGCCCAAAGGGGCCGATGGGCAGGGAGAGAGCATTGGCCCAGGCAGAGTCGTCTCGATTCTTCCGAATCCGACCGGCTGGAAATGCAGTCATTCTGGACGAGCTCCACTTGGGCTCTCTCTCCGACCTGCTCTCATCCATCGACGACGACGACGACGACGTGAATAACATCATGGGTGCCGCCGCTTCCAAGCAGAGCGCAGCTGCGCCAACAACACAAGCACCTGAAGACAAGCAGGCTCACCATCTCCAGGTACGTCGACCCCCTCCATCACCCTGCTAGCAGCTTTCCTTCCTTCTCGTACTGATACGTACGCGCTTCCTTTGTCTTGCTGCACACAGTTCGGGCGATCGCTGTTGAATCAGCTGGACAAGACGTCGCTGGACAAGGTGGAGGGACCGGATGCGACGCGCCAGGTGACGCTCGACACGTCGATCCAGGCCAAGATCAAGTCGGAGCTGGAGCGACTGCGCAAGGAGGAGGCGGAGGTGCGCGGCGAGATCCAAAAGGCGATCGAGAAGGAGAACCTGGCGCGCGAGGCAAAGTACACGGGCGCCTCCGAGGGAAAGAACTCCAACGTGCTGCGCCAAGAGCTCGACCAGCTGCGCGGCAAGATCGACAAGTACAACAAGCAGCGCGACGTGTCCAACTACCCGGGCGTCAAGGAGGCGCAGGAGGCGCTCGTCAAGTGCTACCGGGACAAGCCAGAAAGGACGCTCGACTGCTGGAAGCAGGCCGACGATTTCAAGCAGGCCGTCGCCAACGCAGAGAAGCACTTTATCTCGTCCTTCAGCTAGACCTTTTGCCCCCACATCGTGCAGGTCCAGACACGCATCTCGTTCGAACCCATGAATCTCACCAACTCAGTACGGCGCTGCGTGTTTTTGTTTGTGTCGCTCCCAGGTCGCTCCCAGGCCTTGCTGGGGTCGGATGGTATGGTGATCTGTGTCTATTGAAAGGTATGCTGTGTGCTTGTGCTCTAGTTGATCCATCGGGCTCGGTAGACGATCGTTGGATTCTCGATCTCTGCTCTACTCTGCACCACGCGCAGCTCTCTCCTGCGCATCGTGTCTACTTTGGTCTGTGCCGCGTCGGCGTCCGGGCTGGCTTGTGCCGGCAAGGCAGCTTCGATCTGGTCGATGACGCGGCATGTGTTGGTCAAGACACCCTGCAAGCTCGCGATGGCCATCTCGCTCGCCCTTGCGATGGGCGTCAGCGGGCGCGCCTTTGCATCTTGTGCGCCATCCGCCTGGCCTTGCGGATGGAAACGGCCGAGGGTGAGTGCGGCAAACATGTCCCCGACGCCCGAAAAGTAGCCCTGCACCTCGGGAAACTGGATGCACCATATGCTCAGCTCGTCGGGTGTGAGTGTGGACGCGCTTCGTTCGCCGTCTTGGTTGGTGTGGATGTCGAGGCTGGAGCCCACTTGGAGCATGGCGGGACGGCCGTCTGGCAGCTGCCTGTGTGCACCGATGGCCGCCAGATCGGCGTCTGGCAGCTCTACGGATGTGACGATGACGTGTGGCACCTTGTGCTGCGTATGCAAGGCGTGAATGACGCTGCGCATCGAGGCGAGGTCGATGATATCGATGCCGGTCAGCGCCTGCGCCTCGAACTGGTTGGGCGTCACGATCGTCGCGTAGGGGAGCATCTGCTTGTAGATGGGCAGCACCTCGGGCGCCACGTACATGCCGCGGCCCATATCGCCCATGACCGGATCGAGCAGATACACAAGCCCGCCCTCGTCGTCGGCCTTGCGCGAGCGCAGCTTCTTGACGAGCTGCAGCACCGTGCCGACGACCGCAGCCGAAGGCATGTAGCCGGTGAGCATGCGCGAGTAGCGCAGCAGGCCGTTCTTCTCGAGCCCATCAAAGAGGTCCTGCAGGTGTTGGGCGTCGAAGCGGAGGCCGCCCCAGCGACCGTAGCCGGTATGGTTGCTGAACTGCACCGTATTGGCCACATCCACGTCCCATCCGAGCAGCTGGAGCGGAAAGGTGGCCGAGCGGTTGCCGACGTAGCCCGAGACGACGTGGCTCTGGACGCTAAGGATGCGTGTCGGGTCGGGGACGTTGGCGGCCATCGTTCGTGTATGTGCTGTGCCCGCGCGCTTGCTTCGGCCCACGTCCAAGTTGCTGTATGCAGAAGGTGTAGGTGGCAGGTCGGGAAGGTAGGAGCAATCGAGCAAAGCCGGCCAATTGACCGAGTCAGACGGACCTCCGCCGCTTTTTGCGTTCAAACGCGGCCGAAAAGCTAAATCAAAGCGCTTCTCGGCAGTGTGCGATTCATGCAGCTGGGCTGCCTTCGACCTTCTCAATATTTTGGCGGTGTGGAGGCCTGCATCCTGCGTCCCACCTTCCACCCTCCTCAAAGCAGTATGGATCAAGACGCATTCCGGCAGCTCGTTTCGAGCGCGTCGTCGTCGTCGGGCTCGACATTGCAGCGCTCGTTCGGCAAGACCGCCAAGCGTGCCGCGCCTTCTTCGAGCACCAAGCCGGCGGACCTGTCCAAGCCCAAGCCTCCTCGCTCGGGTTCTGCCTATGTAGACCGCGCGGCTGCGCGGCGCTCCGGCACGCTTGCCCGCGAGTTCTCCGACGTCGAAGCGCTGCAGCGCGACTTTGAGGCGCGCATCGCCGCAGCAATGAGCGGAGAGGAACGGAAAGTGCTACGCGACCAGCTCAGCAGCGTCGGTGGCGATGCGCGCTACTCGGTGCTCGTCAAGGGCCTCGACTATGCACTCCTCGCACAGAACAAGGCGAAGCTCGACCAAGATGCCGACGCAAATGGCCAGGACGCCGATCTCGAACAAGCCTTTCACGCCGAAAAGCCCAAGCGCAGCAGAGACGAGATCATGAATGCCATCAAGAAGAGGCGCGCAGGGGCGACGGGCGACGACAAGAACGCGGCCGGCGCAGGGATGAGCAGCGGGTTCCGCCCGATCGGCAAAGCCAGCGAGGACGAGGCGGTGGCAGAGTACAGATGGAAGAACGGCAAACGCATGCGCAAGAAGGTGCGGCCCGCGACACAGCCCGCCTCGATTCCGGACCAGATTGCGACTTCAGAACCAAAACCCAGTGTCGCGCCGAAAGCAGCACCGGCAGCCGCAGCGTCGCCACCGCGCGAAGAAGCGCTGGGTCTACCACAGCGAGCAGCAGCAGCAACACCTCCACAGCGATCATCGCCTAGTCCGCCTGCAGCCTCAGCCGAAGAGAACTGCCGTACATCCGAGAAGGTGCATGAGGAATCGAGCGACGACGACGGTGACGACGACATCTTTGCCGACGTGGGCGGATGGACGGGTATCGTCGATGTCGACGAAACGCCCGATCCGGTGCAAAGTGAAGAGCCTGCGCTCAACGACACTGTCCCATTGGAGGCGACGGAGTTGAAGCCTTTCGAACCCGCCGAGACTACTGCGAAGGCGTCTGCTGCAGAAACGCCACTCGCCGCGCGGGGATCTTCACCCGCTGCAGCCGCGGATCCACAGTCACAGCCGCAACCGAAGCCACTGCCTCTTGCATCACCGCAGCACGAGGCGGAGCCGAAGCAGGAGCAGAGCCCGAAACAGGCGGAGCCGCAGCCGGACGCGCCACCACCCTCGACAGCACGTCCACGCTCCAAGTGGGATGCGCTCGACGACGCACCGCGCAAAAAGAAGCGCAAGTCCAAAGCTTAGCTCGCACTGACTCTCCTGTCACACGCAGGCTTGGAAACATGGAGAAGAGCGTGTCGTGTGTGTGGGTTGATGTGCAGCGTCGAGATGAGACAAAAGTCTGGGATTGCGGATGGGAGGATGGGAGATCACGCCCTCGCTTCCCAGCTCCGGGCGTGCCCAAGTCCCTAGCGGCATCTTCCAAAGCGACTCGAATCGACAAATCAACACCACTGCAGTGTCGCAGCAATGTCCAAGCCCTTGATGCGGCCTCGCCTCTCTGAGCCGTTCGACAAGTCGAGTCTCGTCCTGGCCATGCGCACGCAGTTGTGCACACAACACCTTCGCATCAACCCTAGCTCAGCTGCTCAGACAAGCTTGAATGGCCCCGCCTTGACGAGCCAATTGACAAGTGCCAAGTTTTACAAGTGGGTATAAAAGTGCAATACGAATACAGTCGCCGCTAATCAAGGAGAAGCGGTGGAAGGAGGAGCGGGAGTAAGCACGCCCACGCCACGGGTGCGTACGACGTGCAGACACGCGTCGCACTCTGGATGCACCAGCACCAACTCGGCCCTCACCTCCTCGTCCTTGACATCTGCCCTGGCGAGCGACGTGAGCAATCCACCGTGCAGCGTCTGTGAGGCTTTTTCGTGCGCACTCTGCAGCTGCATCGGCTGCGAACTCCTCCTCCCACCCTCCACCGCGCTCTTGTCCGCAGCGCGAGTTTCCAGCGACGAGGCTCGCGGACGTGCGGTCCATTCGTCGGTACTGCGCGTCTGCGCCATCCAGCTATCCACCGCCCCGATGCCAGAGGGACGCTCGAGCCCCAGGTCGCACGCCGCGCAGTCGTCGCATCCCGCTGCGGGCTTCGGACTGCCCAGACCCGCAGTGGGCGTCTTGGGGCTCGCCGACGACGCGGCGGTGCTCGAGGCGCGCTGCGACGACGCCGGCTTGGACAGGCAGCGCACACACCGGCACGCGTCGCTGCACGCGCACGGCGGAGGCACAAACTCGGTCGACATATCGACCGCACGCAGCAGCAGCTCAATGCTCGGCGCGCTCGACTCGGCGGGCGGTTGGCCAGAACAGCAGCTGCTCGTCGCCACAGCAGCGTTCGAGCTCGTCGCCGCCGCGCGCGGGTTCATGAGGCTGGAGAGCGACAGCGTCGACGACCGACGAGGCGCAGCCTCCTCGTCCTCGGCATCGTCTGCATCGCGCGCAGCATGGATGCTGGGCAGACTCCACGAGTGCTGCGCACGCGCAGGGCGAATGGGCGCGAGCACAATCTCGCCTTCGGCTTGAGGCGGCGATCGCGAGCGCGAGGATGCGGTGTGATGGTCGAGACTGGGTCTGCGGGTGGTGGTGTGCTTGGGCGATACAGGTGCGTGTGGCAGCGATGGGCCGTCGCCCGTGGTCCTGGCTTTCTTGGGCGCACGTCCCTCGTGTTGGTGGCAGTCTGCCTCGCCGCAACATGTCGACCCAGCGGTTCGGGGCTTGGTGGGCGTGGGAGACGACCTTTTCGAGGAGAGCGATGCTGTCGGAGTCGTCTGCACAGTCGGAGCGCTGGTCTTCTTGCCGGAGCAATCGCAGCGGACATGGCGACCGCTCTCCTTGCGTTTCTGGCGACACACCTCGCACTGTGTGGGCGGCCTTCCCTTGCTGCGGATGGGATATAGCGGACCTTTGGAGCCGTCCTTGTGCGAGCAGGAGGATGTGCGGTGTCCGCGGATGCACGAGGCACACGCGTACTTGACAGCGCCGCCAAAGGTGTCGGCGCGCTGCTCGTCGTGGCTGGTGGCGCTGCCGGAGGCCATTGGAGTGGTGGTGGACGCCGAAGCGCTGCTGGCAGGCGAAGACATGCTGAGTGCCATGCGTGGCGCGGCCGAGCCAAAGCTGGTGTTGCTCTGGAGCGAGTCGGACGAGCGTGGTGTGGAGAGTGGCGGATTGGAGTACCGATGCGCAAGCAGGCCAGAAGCTGAGGCTGGTGAGGCTGCAGTCGCCGTCATGATCTGCTGGAGGACCGACTAAGGTGCGATGCGCGGCTGGTGCTGCCAAGTAGTCCGGATGAAGACGCACGCTGGATGAAAGGCGCAATTAGAGTACGGTGGTCGAAGGCCGGTGGCGATGTCGAGGTATGCTAGAGCGGATGAACGCTAGGAGTGGCCGGCGAAGCTAGGGATGGGTGGATGGGAGGCAAGATGCGAATCCAGGTGCTGGATCTATCCAAGTGTGAGGGCGAGGCTGAGACTCGATTTGACGCTGAGAATGGTCCGAGGGCACATGCGGTTGGCTTGTGAGCGAAGCAACGAGGAGCGGCTCGGAGCCTTAAGCGCGCAGGCGGGCGGAAGGAGCGTTCATCTGGACAAGTCTCCGAGCGTCGGAAGGCGTAGAGTAGTAGCTCCGCGTTGTGGGTCCCAAAGGCGGCTTGGTGGTAGAGCTGCTGGCTGCTGGCTGTGGATTGGAGGGCTGAGGGCGTAGGTAGACCTTGGGCCTCACATCGAGAGCGTGCTTGGCGTCATGGTTGATTGAGCGGAGGAGGATTCGCAGCGTCGTCGGCTTCCGAGTGGCAGCTGCTGCGCACTGAGAAAGTCGGCGCTGCAGCTCGCCGAGGTGGGCGGAGGGTTTTTGTTGTGTGAGGCATATTTCGTGATTTCTGGCCCTTTTTTCTTTTCTACTGTACGCGTTGACGCTCACTTCTTCCGCTCGAGGCATGCGCGCGAGATCTGCAGAGGTGCATCTGGCCTGCACTCGAGCAGCAGCCACGCCAAAGGGTCCGGGGTGGAGAGAAGCGGTGCTGCTTCTGGGAGCTGGGCGCAGATCGCGCAATCCAGAGCCTCAACTCCAGCCAACGCGCCTACGTACCGTCGGCCGCTAGCACCGCACTAACCGTCATTGATCCCGTGAGCAGCTTCTCCTCCGCATCCAGGCTAGCTCAACCGACAGGATCGCCACATCGACACCACTGTACAGGAGAAGACGAAGCAGCAGCAACCCTGGGACCACCACCTGCTGGGTCAAGGGCACCCACCTCCGCACTCTATTGACCGCTGCGGGCTGGGTTCAGGGCGGCCAATTTGCCTCATCCAGGGTTCAGGGTATCGCCACTTCCGACCCAAAATAACACTCGTGCACCTCGTCCCCGCACAGCCGATCCTGCCGCCCGATGCAGTGAAATCAAGAAAGGTCCATATTTGGGCTCAACATCGTATGCCCCGATGCAAGTGTGTCTAGCTGAGAAAGCATGGCGCGATCAAGTCGTGGTGGTCGTGGTGTTGGTGGCAGTAGTCCCCGCCGAGCTGGAGAGCACGTCGTTGATCGACGTCTCCTGGAATCCTGCGGCCAGCGCATCCACCTGCGTGCCTACGCCCGGTCCCGTCCTCTTCTGCTCCTCCAGGATGCCCGGCGTCGGCACGGCGAGCGGCGCCGCTCCCGCAGGCAGACGCTCGAGCGTGTCCGGCGGCGTCGAACTCGCCTGTATCTGCGACTGCAGCGACGCTGTGCGCCCGTCCGCCACGCCCACCGGCGGCGATCGAGAGCTGAGCCCCGTCAGGTCCCCCACGCCGTCCCGAAAGTCGCGTCCGATCTTTTGAGAGCGCAGCAGCGAGGCAGTGCTTGGTACGGCCGAAGGCGTGGATGAAGACGCCGACGCCGCCGACGCCGCCGCCGTCGCTGCCTCTGCCTCCGTATCCGCCACACTGACACTTGCAGGCGAACCAGCCGCCGCGCCTACCGGCGAAGCGACCGCAGGAGACGCCTGGCTCGCCGTTCCGGCTCTGTCGCTCGGAATGGCGACCGCCTCGGCTCCCGGCGCGGCCCGCAGCGTCGATGCGCTCGAACTGGCAATGCTACCGTGCCCAGCCCCTGGCGTGACCGTCTGTGCAGTCGAGAGCGGAGTGATGGGTGCCAGTCCGCCGCCGAATCCGCTGTCGCGCCCCGCCAAGCTCGACGCAGAGCTCGCGTGACGCGACACTGCCGCCGAGTTGGGCTGTGTCGCCGGGCCATCCGGCGGTGCCATGCCGATCATCGGTCCTCCGCGTGCCATGAGCGCCTGGCGCACCATATCCGCCGACGCGCCTTCGCCCTCCACCTCGCTGTCCGAAGCGGCGCTCTCGGTGCCCGACAGCTCGGCACTCGACGTCGAGTCGCCGTCCCAGACATCCTCCTCGTCGTCGTCATCGTCGTCGTCTTCGCGGTTGAGCATCTCTTCAATGGTCTGCTCCACCTCCTCGTACTGCGCACGCAGAATCGCCTGGCCCTCGGGCACGCTGCCATCGCGCCCGAGCCACTTGCGCACGCCCGTGTCGTTGCCGTCCTTGTCGAGCACCTTGCTGCGCATATTGTCGATCTGATGCAGCGCCAGCCGGTACGGGTAGAGGTCGCGCATGGTAAACGGCCCGCCGTACTTGCTCACCTCCTTGAGGCACTTGGACACCGTCGAGAGCTTGTTGCTGATCGGCATCAGCTCCTCGGAGATGGGCTCGGAAGAAGCCACGAGCCGGTAGATCAGACCGTAGCACCGGCGCAGCAGATACAGCAGCACGAGCTGGCCCTCGGGCTGCTTGCCCTCCGAGTCGACAAACTTGCCGTTGACGCGCAGCCGGTCGATCTCCTTGAGCGTCACCTGGTAGTTCCACAGATCCGTCTCGCGCAGCGTCCAGCGGTGCGTCAGCACCAGATGCTCGAGCTGCGACTTGATCTCCACCAGCCGGTCGTAGATGGGCTGCAGCGTCATCGGCACCTCGTCGTTGCGCACCGTCATGTCGTGGCAGATCTCGAAGCACTCCTCGAGCAGACCGACCAGGATCGCCTGTCCCGCGGGCACCGAGCTGCCGCCGGGTCCGAGGAACTTGCCGTCGACGCGTTTGGCGTCGATCTTGCGCAACTCCTCCTGCAGCTGCTTGATCTCGGCACGCGCCGGCTTGGGCTTGGCGGCGGCGGCGGCGAGCTGGCGTCGGATGGAGATGATCTTCTGGTGGATGGGCACGAGCTCGACGGAGAGCACCTTGAGCGAGCCCTCGAGCTTGCGCACCGTCTTTTCGCACACCTCGAGCTTGCGCGTCATGAGCTTGGTCAGCTGCGGCGGATGGCGGCCGCAATCGCCGTCCCTGCGAATGATCTCGCGCAGTTCCGAGAGTCGCGCGCCAAACGGCTGCAGATCGGCCTCGGTGTAGATGCCGGACTCCTGCAGATGGTCGAGCAGCTGCTTCATGCAGCTCAGCTGCGAGAACGTCGCCGGGCTCTCGCGGCTGCGTCCGATGGTGAGGAAGAAGAGGCTGAGCAGCGAAAAGACGTCGTTGAGCGTCGTGTCGACGCGGTTGTGTTGGAGCACGGGCGAGTCGTCTTGGCCGTTGGTGTCGGCCTGGTCGGGGGCGTCGTGGTGGTCCGAGGTGGAGCTGGCGGTGGAGGAGGACTGCGCGTTGGCCTGCTGCTCGTCTCGGACGGCGTTGAGGCGGGTGACCTGCTTTATGACCTGCTGGTAGAGCAGTTGCACGTCGTGCGAGCGGATGAATTCGGAGCTGTCCTTCTTGAGCGCGGTGAGTCGGTTGCGGATGTTGATGAGCGCCTCGAGGATGGGCAGCTCCTCGTGCGGGATGCTCGACATGCTCGACATGGTGTCAAAATGCGCCGACCCGAGCCAAGGCAGTCGCTCGCGCGCAGATGAAGAGAGGGGAGAACGCTGCGAGCCAATACGTTCGATGATGTGGCCGGGGACGATACTGCAGCTACAGGGCAAAGGGTGGAGAGCCGAATGGAAACGGCGGTGGCGTGCTGCGTGTGCTGGAATCCAAGCTCAAGCTGAATGGGGAAGGAACGTGAGGTGGTGACTGAGCCGAACAAGTCCGTGGTCACGTCGGAGATTCGAGCAAGAGTGAGAGTGATGGTGGACGGATAAGCCGCGGAGGCGAGCGGGTGCGTAGGTTAGTGTGATGCCGTTGGATCGTCCCGGGCGCGCGCGGCTGCCAACTCTGCATGGCTGGCTGGCTGACCTGCATCCATTCGCACTATTTCCAGAAGCCTCTCTCTCTCTCTCTCTCTCTCTCT